GGGGGTGGGGGGATGGGTTAGCCTGGTGATGGTTATTAAAGAGGGCACATTCTGCATGGAGCCCTGGGTGTTATGCACAAACAATGAATCATGGAACACTACATCAAAAACTAATGATGTAATGTATGGTGATTAAGATAACAATAAAAAAATTAAAAAAAATGGAGAAATAGAAAAAAAATTCAGTTTGACTGACACATAAGAGTAAAGTAATATAAGGTTCATTTCTATTTATTAGCATCTGATTGTATTCTCCTGATAAGTCAGATAATTAAGTAATTCCTTTGTAATTATTAGTATTAATTTTATATATCCTTTGTGCTTACCAGAATTATTATTCCTTCTGTAAGAGTGGCAATTATTTTTAATTTAATTCCATATTCTACACTGACTCCTGCTAAATTATTCTGAATCTTAAAACTATTGTGTTTGTTTAGGCCCTAAAAACATGTACTCATATAACTTTTCCATTTCTTAGCTCATTTAATTTGTGATTTAGTTAGGTAGTTTTACAAAGTTACTTTGGTCACATCTGAAATCTAGACATTGTTGTTATTTGCTCTGTAATACACAATTCATGAACAACAATTATTTCTTCATTGTTCTAGAATCATTTGTTTGTTCCTTTTGTGAGCATTATCAGGATTCTTAGAAAATACCTTGTATGATGCTTTCACCTTACAAATATGAGGCCTGAGGAGGTTTGGTGACCAGCCCAGGCTCATAACCAGCCCAAATGATACCCATCTTCTGTCTTTTAATTTTCTTCTACTCTTCCCTTCACTTAAGAATGCTGCTCTGCTTTCTCAAACCTCATTCATTATCTGGAGCCTTCTTAGCCCTCATCCTTCAAACCCAACATGGTTAGTCCTCAGCTGTGAGACATGGGCAGTCCTCGGCTATAGGAGGAAAAAGTGCGTTCTAGAAGGTGTTGATTTGAACCCGGGGCTGCTCCTGAGGGTTCTTGGCTCCGTGAATGGTGGATGGGAGGGCACAGAAAGGGACATGAGGATCTGTAAAGAGGGAGTGCTCTGTGTTCTGGAGAGAGGGATAGGGAACGTGAATTGAGTCCTTCAGAAATGACCTAAGAGCAACAGTCTAGAAGAGAGTGAGAGCCAAGGTGAGCAGGTGACTTAGTCATTTTGCCATTCATTCAGTTGTTGCCATAGTCTGTCTACGTCCACTCTGGGAGCTCTCTCAGAATGGTCCCTTCCTCTCGAGTCTTGCTGCGACATTCCCATTCAGGCCCCCACTGTCACTGTCCTGGGCTAGGGTGACATTTCCACACTGGGTTTCCCATCTTGGCCTCTCTCACTTGGGTCCGCTCTGCACACCCTCCGGGAGGCCTTTCTGAAGCACAAATCTGGCCCTATGCAGTGCTTACTTTAAACCTCAGTAGATTCTATTGTCACGCAGGGTGAAGTCCAAATAAGCCTCTTCACATTCTGGTCCTTGGATATCTTTCTGGCTCTGCCTTCAGGGCTCCCAGCCCTTCACCCTGCGGACTGACCAGGCTTGCCTTTCTGAGCACACTGTGGAATGTCTTCTCCCATTTCCTCCCCCTTTTCTCTGCCCAGAGGAAGCTGCTTACAGGCTCATTCCAAATGCCACCACCACACAGATTCCTCCTTCTTCTCTTCCAAGCAGAATGACATGTACCCTCTTTGGTTTTTCCCCATTTTTCTGCACGAATGGCTCCAGAATAAGGTGATGGTTACACTGGAGCGAGCCGTGTATGCATGGGTCTGATTTCGCATCGGGCGTTCAGGGCCTACTGCCAAACTAAAGACTTAGTAACTTCTTAATAAATAGTTTTGAATGAGTCTTTTGTTTATTGGTACACAGTTCAGGGAAAGGAAAAGGTACAGACACAAAGAGACAGTGGTGTAAAGACTATAGAAGTCATTCAGCTTGAAGACAAGTGGTCCAGGTTGACGGAAGACCTCTCCTTTATGAAGTCATTCGGGGACTCAGGCTCCACCCATGGGGCGTTGTCAGGTTGAAACTTGGGTCACCACCTTTCTGCAGTCCAGCTTGCAGGAAGGGAATGGAAGCATGAGGGAAAGAATGACTCAAGGTCCTGGTGAGGAAATGGCACACAGCACTTCTTCTCAGATTCCTTCTGCCCTCAGTCAGTCATATGACCCCATCTCAATGCAAAGAAGTTGAGGAAGTGCCATTTATCCATATGTCCAGGAGATAGAGGAGGACAGTTTTTGGGGAGGCAATTAACAATGTCCACCCAGTTGACTCTCTGACTTTCTTTGGAGCCATATCACTCCCCTCCCTCGTGGCATCCTGTCAGGCATCATGGTCACGAGACTTCATGTTGTGCATTGAGAAATATCGGTCTACCTGCCAATGCATCAACTGCCTGATACAAACCAATCTCTGTCTTGGCTGATTCTCTTTTTCCTTTTAAAAATTACCATAAACTTTCCTACTTAAACTGTCAAGCTTTACTTTCTTTCTGTATGAGGAAAAAGTTCCTGTACATTAATTTCATCTTACTTCTTTGTTTAATTAGACAATCTCTATTTGGCATAACCCAGGCCTGATTTAAATTTCTTTTTTTTTTCCTTGTCTATTGTCTCTCTTATGACATTTTCCAGGGACTGTACTAATGTAGGGGATCTTTTATCTCGATCAGCCTCATCAAGCAAAGAAGGTAATTTTTTTTTTCTGGAAGTGTTGGTGAAAATTCTTTTGTATACCTACATCCTCTTATGGGTTGTTCTTTTGTACTTCTTACTTAATGCTATTGCTGTTAACTCTCATAAGGATGCTCTGAGCAGCAATGCTGGCTTAGAAGACACAGTGCCTGCCTCTTTGAGGCTGAATTTTAAAGATTTCCTGATAGCACCTGAATGATCCCTGTTTCCCCTTTTACATTCCTAGGTAAGAATTCACTTTCATTTTTATGCTGATACATAAAAATGGTATATATGAGCATAAAAATGAAAAATATATCTTAAATATATATTTTAAATATATATATATATTATGCTGTTGTATATTATATATATTATATATAAGAGCCTCAGCTCACAAAGGGCAACCCTGTGGGTCCCCACTCCTCTGCTCCTTTCCTATCTTATAGCATATCCACCCCATTGGAACATTAGATTTGGGTTTGGTTTTGTTTTGTTTTGCACCTCGCACTACGTTGGAACATATGTTTCCAGGAATTTCTATTCTTTGCATAGTTTTGGGCAAACTTTTCCACTCTTGTGGCTTCCGAAGCTAGACCTACAAGCCCCATGTCTCTCCTACACTCATGACTGAACTCTCCAGGGACTTGTAAATTCACCATCTGCTTACCTGTGGAAAGTTAATATGATATCTGCCCCCACGGACTGCTTCTTTTCTCGAGCAGCCAAGACAGAAACCAGGAGCCCCCTCAGCTCACCTCTCCCCAAGAGTTTCACCCCCAATCCATCAGTGTGTCTTGTAAGACTGATAGGGGCAAAACTAGGCATCTGTGTCCTCTGTGTTCAGATTCCAGCTGCCAAAAACAAATGTTTTAGCCTCTTTCACTGACCTCTCTGGCATGGGTCTCACGGGCTCTGCATCTCACTCCGTGCAGGGGGTCGGAAGGACTTCAGATGGAGAACTGACCACACCATAGTTCGGATAGAAAATGAAGAAGCCCCGTGGAGGACACGTCTGAGCCCAGGTGTACAGCATTAGAGCCCTGCCTCACCTCAAGCTTATTTTTTCCCTTCAGACTCAGTTTCCAGCCCACCCACCTTGACAACTACCAGAAGCAAAAGTGGCCATAGGTGAGTATTTTGTGGTATTTTCTGTCTGGCTAATGCCTCTTGAAGAGTGGCCTGCCCTGCCCTCCCTCACCACACACACACACACACACACACACACACACACACACACACACACACACACACACACACACACACACAGGCTACCCCAAGTATGCTTCTCTGGGCTTCCTTGTTTGTACCTCTAACTTCTTCTCATTAATCCCTCACGATTATAATGATTTATTCTTCTGTCCTCTCCTCTTTCTTTGAGAAAGCAAGCTCCTTGAGGACAGGTGTTATGTCTTTCTCTCCAGTGTTTCCAGCCCCTTGACCAGGGTTATTTTTGTTGGACGGTTGGTTTGTAAACCCACAGATGTTGGGGAGCATGTGTGTTTCTTCGTCAGACCTCTGCACTGCCAGAGCCTGGAGTCATGCAGAGTGACTGCTTCTTGAGAAATGCTTGAGAGGGGAGAAATTGCCCCAGCCTCCTGGCCTCCCCAGCCTCCCCAGCCTCCCCAGCCTCCTTTGCAAAAGGGCTCCACTTGCAAGGAAATGTCCCTCTAGTCACTCTGCCTCAGACAGGCGCTTCTCAGCACCTGAAGGGCTCTGGCTATCATGACGCAATTGTCATTCTGGCGACACTGGAGGATTTTTTGGAAACACTTCCAGAACTTGGGAGTAGCGAGAAGCAGACAGTGCGTGATTGCATTGGGACTCAGGAGCTAACCTTAGCTCCCGGGCCGTGGCCGGGCGCCAGGTCTCAGTGCTAGTGAAGACAAAACAGTCTTTTGAAGTGCTGCAGATTTAAAACAGGGAATCAGTTAACATCTCCCTAAGCAGCCAGTCATGGGAACAAGGAGCGTGTTTGATAATGGAGAGATGCTGGGAGAATGGCCGAGCCCGCGCCTCCTTGGTGATAGAGCGTGCTGCCAAGCAGAAATTAAAATAAGACGACTGGGGAGTGGCAAAACTGTCTTTGGTAAAAGAGTGGCAGGCAGGCATTGGGGTGATCCATGGCAGGAAATCAGGTGTGAGCTTGGAGGGCCTTTTAAGACTGGCGCTGGCATTTCCCAGTTGGTACTTGTGATGAACTCAGATTGCTATCGGAGTCCTAATGCCAAGCCCCCCCTCACTCCTGGTAATGGATCTGGGGGGAGCTCTGAGCAGAAGAGCAGGCTGGGTTGGCCATGGGGGATGAGCGTCTCCTTGCCTGGGCACTTCACTTCCTTTTGTGCTCTCTATGCATGGATGTCAGTATTATTCACATAATGGGCAGGATTACTCATGATGCAGGAGCAGGGGAAGGCTGCAAGAGCAAGGACTTCAAGTTCGAATTCAAGCCCAAGTTTAAATCCGGTGCTATCTCTTATGTGCCACAATAAGGACATCATTTGACCTCTTGGAAACTTCATGACCTAATACGTTAAATGGGGGCAAAAAAATCATACTGAACTCATAGGATCCTGAGAAGGATGAAAAAAAATATACTCTGAATGCACCCGGCTCGGGTCAAGTTTGTGCATTGTGAATCTGAACGTCCTCTTCTGGTAATCTGTGCCCAGAGTACTTGGGGATTCTTCACCATCTTTCCAGCTTTCTTTTTATCTGAAATGTGGACACATTTACAAAATTGCTGCCACATGCCTATGATGCACAACCACAAAATTCCTCTCAAGCCTTTTCAGATCAGCCCAAGGAAATTGGATCCCATGCCACCATACTGAAATAAAATCACAAGCCTGTAGCGTGGCCCAAGAAGCAATTAGAGTGATGGGAACACCCCATGGATCTATCAGTTGTTGACTATCAGAATTTTTCATGAGCATTAGTGTATAATTCAAAACCATGTTCATAATTTTGTAGGGAGAATATTCTAAAACCTGCAAGGAGGTGTTTCATTACCATTTCGCACTGACCTAACTGAAATGTCGCTGCCTATGTTTGCTGCTTACTTGAATGCTGAGCTGGAAGTAACCAGCTTCCTTCTAAGAATATAGCAATCCCCCATGAGTCCAGGTGTCATTACCCAGACTGAAATTAAAGATCAGGTGACTAATTGCAGTGGATACTGGTGGGCCAGTCAAAGCCGAGGCATGTCAAGCTACCGTGACTCATAGGACTTTACCAGAAACGACCCCAGGTTGTCACCAACAAGATCAGACTCTTACAAACCAGTGGAAAGAACCATATTCCAGACTAATGAATTTCCCGTTTCCATAATACAGTTGTACTAAGTGTACTGTGTGCTCTTTGTAATCTAATTTCAGTTGAATTACTTTTTACAATCTGCTCAAAATGTGTTTACGACAGAATCATTATAGGAATAATTTCTTTTCCTCTTCAGCTTGCCTTTTTTTTTTTTCTCCTTCTTTTCCTCTGCCCCTACTTTGAAATGTACTTCCCTCTGTTAAATATGTCAAATGGGTTGAACAACCCAAATTTCTTTACTGTTCGTTGTATCATCTCCTCAATCTCTTTCCGTTGCCCATCCTTTTATCAAGAAAAGTAACTTCTTGGGGCACCTGGGTGGCTCAGTTGTTAAGCATCTGCTTTTGGCTCAGGTCATGATCTCAGGGTCCTGGGATCGGGTCCTGCATCAGGCTGCCTGCTCCACAAGGGGCCTGCTTCTCCCTCTCCCACTCCCGCTGCTTGTGTTCCCTCTCTCGTTGTGTCTCTCTCTGTCAAATAAATAAATAAAATCTTTAAAAAAAAGTAACTTCTTTCTCTTCAAAAGTTTCCCAAGTGGTTGACATACAGGAGTTAAAGTTTTAAGGACTTGGCCTTAAATTTCCTTAAATTACCTTGCCTGGAACTAGTTGCTGAAGATTTTCTATAATAACCTTCCTAGGCACCTAGCATAGAGAAATATCAACCGTGAGGGTTGCTACTCACAAGGACATAAAATATACAATGTGAAAAATGTGCTCAAGCATTTCTTTAATTTTTAATAACATTTAAAAATAGTTAAAGGCACATAAGAAATTGCAAAAATAATGCAGATAGTTCCTGTGTACCAGCTTCCCCCAATAAAACATCACGTATATTCATAACAGGTTCCCCAAACCAGGACATTGACATGGGTACAGTAACTATTTATTATACACACTCTATTTGCTTAACAGTTTTTAAGTGTTTTGAGCCTCAAAAAACATGTGCTTCAAGGACGAGCTTTTCAAGTGGGGGTGATTTTTTTTCACCCAGGGCCATTTGGCAGATGTCCAGAGATGTTTTTGGCAGTCACAACTGGGGGATAAAGTGGTGATGGTGGCATCTACTGAGCAGAGGCTAAGTATGCTTCTAAACATCCTGTCATACATAGGACGGCCCTACAGCAAAGAACTACCTAGCCCAGAATGTCAGTAGTGCCAAGATTGGGAAACCCTACTTTAGAGGAATATAGATCTCAGAGCAAATGCTTCTCACTTTGTCTTCTCAGCATAATTTATTTTTTAAAAAAGATTTTATTTATTTATTTATTTATTTATTTATTTAAGACAGAGAGAGAGAGAGAGAGAGAGAGAGAGAGAGAGAGAGAGGGCACACATGACTGGAGGGGGGCAGCGGAGCAGAAGTAGAGGGAGAAGAGACTCCCCGCTGAGCAGGGAGCCCAATGTGGGGCTCTAGCCCAGGGCTCTGAGATCATGACCGGAGCTGGAGGCAGATGCTTAACAATTGGACCACCCAAGTGCCCCTTCTCATCATAATTTAAAGGGGAGAATTCAAACTCAAATATCTATAGGGCAGCCGAGTAATAGCCAAGAAGAGTACGGTGGGCCAGGAGAGATTGTAGAGAACCAGGGAATACATGGCTTGTCCAAAAGAAACAGCTACTCCCAGCTCATGTGGGAGTTCACCATGTGAAAGCAGAGACCAGCTTCGTTGGTCATCAGATTTTTTTCTTAGAAGGCAAACATTTGGGTTTTGAAATATAGGTTCCTAATTTGAATTTTCAAGAAACAAATCCAGAGAACCACTATGTTTGTGAGGATGCTGGGGGCAATATTACTGTCAGGGCATGGTAAGGTTGAGGTTGAGGTTGAGTTTGAGGTCGAGGTTGAGGTTAAGCTCGGTTAAGGTTCAAGGTCACTGGTTATGTGTATGCTTTCTCAAAGTAGCCTGTCTCAGCCTCAGTTTCTCTGAGAGTATAGTATATACTTCATAGGATTATTTTGAGAATTACATAAAATAAAGTGTGTGAAGAGCTTAGTAGTCTGCTTTGGTTGAAATAGGTATTTCATGGTTGTGCCATAATAGAACAAAGAGGTCAGATTTATTTTTCCAGCATCTTCTTCCCCACTCCTTGCTAATGAGTTACTGACACCTTGCACCAGGCTGAGCCCTTCCCAGTGAGGAGCAGCTGATAGCTTGTAACTACAACAAAAACTACCATTTGTGTAGCTCTTTATTGACTGTACCATGAATATGGCTCCTTCCTTCAGAACAGAATCTCCTGATGCTCATTTAGACAAACATCCCATCCTTCTTTGACTTTGTTGAAAAGTACATTTGACTCAGGGCAAGCATCACTAATTTAACCATTTTGATTGAATTGGACAGAAGTGTAAATGACTGGACTATGTCAAAACTCTGCTGAATTCATAGGTGTATTCACTTACAATGAATGTGCAGGCCTATTTCACCAGTGGATCCCTTGGGTCACTTGTTACCTTCCCCAAGCATTTGCATCTATTTTTGTTTGCTCCAGAGGTGAACTGTCTGTGCTCCCCTGGGGGATTCCAACTTAACTCAATATTCCCTGGGCTTATATTTTGTTGACTCAAGTGTGGCATAGTTGCTATCATTAGCCACATCCACTCTGCTCTATTTTCCACAAGTAAGACTTAGAAACATAGGATTATTGCCTATCACGCAGACCCTGAGGGAATTTCTGACCCACATTGTCTTGG